GAATGCCTGGCCCTGCCAAGGCAACCACAGGTGGAACTTGAAATTCAATAAATCGACAGCAGGCTAATTTTTGAGTTGACAGCTTTATATGGCCCTTTTATATGATATAAATATCCACATGGCCCTTGGCAGAAAAAAGGTTCTGTAGCCCTGCGGGCAGGCAGGCACTTTGGTTATCTTCATTTCGCAGATCGGGAAACTGAGGCTTAAAGTGGTGAAATGCTGGTGGTGACGGCAGGCTTCAGAGGGAGGAGGCAGCCTCCGGAGCCAGCACTGGTCGCTACGTTCTGTCCTGCGGGCTTGCCGGACAGGCAGCCAGGGGGCGAGAGCAGGAACTCAGGAGATGGCATTTGGGTGCTGGGACCACGGCGCTGACTTCTTTCTCGCTGCTATTTTAGTGGACACAGGACTCTGGTTCTCTAAAACGGTGACTTTTTTGTTTTGTTTCCCAACCTCAACATTCAGGTCAGTACAAAGAACCCATAACCGTACAGGCAGTAAACAGCGGACCCCTCTGAGACAGCAGCCCGCGGGGGAACCCGGGCTGTGGCTCCGCTAGGTTGGGCTGTTTTCAGAGTCTTACTTGGTTAATTTAGGCAGGACATGAGTCTGTTTCGACTCCTGCTGGCCTCCATCCTGTTCCACTAGGTCCTCACGGTCACCCACAGTCATGTCCGTGACTGAGGCAGCCTGTTTTAAAGCCCCCAGGTGGTTCTAATTCCCAGGCAGGCATGAGACCTAGGGGGATCCAGCCCCACGCCTGGTGCTCCAGCTGCAGGCTGACCCAAGAGCTCTGCAGGACCCAGGACCAGGCTTCAGGACGCCTGACGGGTTCAGGGCAGGCCTGGGGGTGAAATCTGTGCCCCCCCAGCTGTACCCCATTTCTGAGGCAAGTGGGAGCAAAGCTTCTCTGCCTGCCTGAATCCTGGCAGAGTTCCTGGAGAGTTAGCTCAGCCTGCAGGCTTGGGTTTTTAAGGCTCCTTTGAAATCCTCCCTGGCAGGGCCCCTGAGGTCAACAGCAGGATTCAAGCTGGTCAGGACACAGGGTGGGGGCGGGGAGTGAGCTCAGGCGGGCTAGGCCCCCGGAGCTGCACAATAATTGCTCTGAAGGGAGGAGGGCCCGGGCAGATGCTTTTGTGCTGTGTGGCCCAGCGTGCCCTGTTTCCAGGGCAACCACAGACCCCACCGCTTTTTCAGAGGTGGGAGCCAAGACCAGAGGAGAGCCAATTGGCACGCAGAGCCCAGTTACCTGGGCCAATGGGAAGTGGAGGTGGGCAGGGTCAGAGTGGGAGGAGAACCTGAGGCTGAGATGTGCAGAGATCCGAGCTCCCCCGGCTGTCCGTCAGGTGCAGCAGAAGCCAGCCTGTTCCCGCCAAACCCCTCTCCTGAAGGTTACAGGGGACCCTCGCGGCTGCTGGGCACACTGAGGGCAGTGCCATCTGTGGGACGCTAGGTCATGCGTGGTGCTGACCAGGACAAGCAGGGGCAGGAGGCTGAGAAGCTGCAGGGCTGCTCACAGCTGCCCCAGCCTTGAAGGAGGCTCTTCCTCTGGGCAGAGTGCCGGGGTGGGGAGGGCCAGCCCTGTGGCCTTGCTGGCTGTCCTCAAAGCCCATGCCCCAGTCTGGGCACGCCGTGCCACTGCTCTGCGTGTGTAGACATCACCATGGACAGCAGCCTCCTGGCCATAGTCGCGGCCGCCGGTGAGTACTCACTGCCTTGCCAAGTGCCCAGGGTGGGGCCCTATCCACCGCTGACCCCTCACCATAGGCCGGAAGCCCAGCCTCGCCTACACGGCCGCATCCAGCAATGTCCCTCCCCGAGCCACTTGGGAAGAAAGCTGTGTGTGGTCAGCCCGCAGTCCCTAACATTCCCTTCCTATCTGTGCCGGGCTCTGGATGGCAGGCTTTCATAGCAGGACAGGGCAGGCCACTGAAGTTGAGACCAGGCTCTTGGAGCCTCTCCTTCCCAACTTCGTGCCCTCGTAAACTCCCCCTTTCACCTATCCCCGCCACTCGGGGCTGAAGCTGCTCTGCTCTCCCGCATGAAGCTCTGCCCCAGGACGCTAATGCAGCAGCAAAGGGAGACCTTGCCCTGCCCCGTGAGGCTGACACGAGACCCAGCCAGGTCACTGCCACCCCACCTACCGGAGCGCAGTTCCAGCGCGGGGAGATGGGCCATGTGCGGGCCCCAGGCTTCCCCTGACTGTGCCTGGGTGGGGGGCAGTTTCCTCCACCGTGTTCATCATGGCCATCCTGCTGCGGCTGCTGTACCAGCGTGACCTCCGGTGCTGCCAGGTCCTCTGCTCCTGCCACTTCTTTCGGAGTCCCAGCCAATACGTGAGCACCCCTGCCCAGCAACCCTTTGCCTCACGCCCCTCAGCCCAATTCTGACAAAAGGGCACCTGCACTCTGGCCTGGGAAAAGCCTAGCTCGGTGTGGGAGGGGCCCCTGGGATCTCCGGCACCCTCCAGCCTGGTTCCTTCGGGGTCAGGGCGGCAGTGTGGGTAGGGTTAATAACATCCTGGCCAGGCCCCTCCCTGACCATTGTTAAACATGACTGCTGGGAGCCCTGTGCTGGGAGCCCCAGGCAGAGACAGCGGTCTTCCCCTAGCGCTCCAGCTCCCACAGGGAGAGCCCAGAGCCCCAACTTCAACTTGTCCCAGGGGCCAGGGCACCATATAGCTTCCTATAGAGAAACCTGCTGAGCTGCAGTCCCCCAGGCCCTGACTCCCCAACTTGGCACGATGCAGGAGGGAGGGTGGGGGGACAGGAGGAGGTCTCTGACTCTCCCTCCAATGGCCACTGAAGCGGCTGCCAGATCCTGAGACAATGAGCCAGTGGCTAGAGAGGACTGGAGTCTCTACACCCCAGTGCATTTCGTGAACGCCAAGAGTCTGAGCTTTGTACCTTGGACTTGGTGGAGCGGACTGGTAGGGGTAGAGGAGCATGGGGCCAAGGAAGGGTTGGGCTCTGCTCCCTTGCCCACCACCCATACTCCTGAGCTTCACCATGAGTTGACCTTCATGACCCCCAGGCCTGGCCCGCTCCCTGCTTCAGCACCACACGATGCCCCACCCCCGAGGTCCAGCCGGTGGAAAGGAGCCGAATGTCCCAGGGAGTGCAGGTGAGGAAGGAACTCGTGTTGCCCCTGCGGGTGTGGGAAGAGGTGTGTGCTGGGGTCCTGAGGCCAGGTAAGGGGCCCAGTGTGCTTAGGGAACCAAAAAGAATGCAGAGCAAGGGGGGGGGGCGGGGGCTGGAGGCTTCTAGAAGAGGAGGGTGCGTGACACCCATCTGAGGCTCACTCGGTGGCAGCAAAATCGTGTGGAGGCCTGTGCCCTTGGCTGCCCTGGCTTTTGTTGGTCACAGGGCCATCCCGAGGGGGATGAAGTGTTCTGCGTGGGGCTGACCAGGAGCCATCAGATTTCCCTGTGGCAGCCAGCTCGCCTGCCCAGCTACGAGAGTGTTCGAAAGAAGGACCGGCAGCAGCAGATCCACCAGCTGATTGCACAGCGCTTCGGGCTCTGGGCTTGCGGAGAGGTGAGTGGTCAGCGCTCCCGGCCCCGTGCCTGCAGGGTGAAGCCTTGCCACACTGTTATCCACAGGGCCCAACTTGAGCTCCTGGGGTCAGGACAAGGGAAAGGCCACTGGTGGAAGACTTCAGTCTTTGCCTGGGGCCCACCCCACCTCTCTGGGTAGAGGGGAGGATGGCAGGCCCCAGCCCAGAGACTCAGGGCTCCTGCACAGGGGTCTCCATAAGCCACAGCTCTCGGGTCTTCTTTGAAAGGAAGGACTGTTCACTGCGGGAGACGACGCAGAGAATAGCAGAGGGCCTGCGTGTCTCTGGCGGGAGGACACGGAATGGCTAACACCTTTTCTCCCCATCCTTCCAGCTGCCACCAAGCTACGAGGAGGCCGTGGGGCCACTGCCTGCACCGTCACCCAGCTGTGGCTCTGCGCACCCATCCCAGGAAGCGGCCGCCTTCCCTGCCCTGGGGAACACCACTGTGTAGGAGGGCAACCGCCAATCCCACCCCTTGCCATTTCCCCCTGTGGCTGGGACAGCACTGAGTCTGTGGGGTCAGCCTCTACCCCCTTCCCTGCCTAAGGACTGGCCCAGCTGGGCCTTGGTGCCTGGTACCCCGCACAGGGCTTCAGAATGAACCAGCCCCAGGTCAGCTGCAGGTGGGGAATCCGGGATCACGCCGAGAGAACGAGGCAGAACCGTGGAACTGAGGGGCCTCTCTGCGCCGGATCCCTGGAGCCCTGCCTCAGGACAGACCCCTTGGAAGGAAGCCCCTGGCCTCTGTGAGCCCCTCTCTGGGCTGCAGTCACCAGCACCTACCTCCAAGAGCCAGGAACTGCCATCCTGCCCCGCGGAGACCTCCTTCCTGCCCAACCACTCAGGTCTCGGCTGAGCTGCCAGCGAAGGCCTGCCCCAGCCCGCCCCAGGCCCTCACTGAGTATCCCAGAAGCCAGATTCTTCGTTGCTGTTATTGGTTTGAGATAAATCAAGAACCACAGAAGTGCACAGGCTTGTTGTGTCCAAATTTTCAGGTGGGCAGGAAGAAGCCATCTGTAACCTATCCTCTCTCGCCCTTGGTACTCAGGGGGAAATGGGGCCAATCAAGGCTAAGAGGGTCTCTGGGCATCCCACAAGCCCTCCCTGTCCCGGACCCACACAAGCAGGGAAGGGTCTCCCATGTGGCCACCCCTGGGGCTACAAGCCCTGCTCTCTGCGTGTGGCGCCAGGAGACAGGAACACAATTGCATCACTCCCTCTATTGCTCCTACCCAGGGCCCCGTCCCTGGACGTCTTGGGATACAAGAGGGTACGGGGCAGCGACTCCCCCAAGCACAAGATCTCTTCCTTCCCCTTTGGGAGATGGAACCAAAGCAAGTCCTGTGCACATCAAAGTGCCCTCTTCTCATCTGCCGACGGCCCCATTCCCGGCTCCCCCCTTGGCGTGGCACAGAGAACACGGGTAAGGACCACACAGCACAAACAGCTCCTTCAGGGTTTATTTCAAGCTTGCAGGCCACGACTCCAGCTCACTCTGTCTCTGGCCCCAAAGGGTTTCAGTCACCAGCTGGCAGGCCTCTTCCGGGGAGACTTTGTAGTCACCCCAGCTGTTGCCTTCTGCTGTTGCCTTGACACCTGAGCTTCAGTCTCTGTCCAGTGGCCTCGGCCAGACTTCAGAGCATGGCTACCAGTTTAAAGGTGCCCTCGGGCTTGGCAGGAACCACATGGACAAAAGTCTTATAGAGCACAGCCCCCCTGGGCAGCCTGGTGACCAGATCCACGGCCTCCAAGTTGCTGGGGTTGGGCACGTAGACCTCCTTGGTGTAGCGGACTATCCCTTCCTCCAACGCGTACAGGCACTTCTTATTCCCCAGCCCCACCTGCAACACACAGACCCCATCAGCTGATGGGGAGCCGGGTGGGCCACCACGGGCTTCACGACATCTCCCACAGGATCGCCCTGGACCGGGGAGGGGTGGGGTTCAGAGGGCTCCATCTCAGGTTCCCTTTCCCACTGCCTGGCACTTCCTTGTCCAGGTGTCTGCTCAGTCCCAGAGGGCTGATGCCGGCAGCCATGTCTATGCAGCCAGTCAAAAGCTTCAAAACCAGGCCCGACCAGCGCTGTGGTGTAGGAGGGTAAGGCTCTGCCTGTGGCACCGGCATCCCATATGGGCAACAGTTCATGTCCCAGCTGCACCATTCTGATCTCTGCTTATGACCTGGGAAAGCAGTGGAAGACGGCCCAAGTGCTTGGGCCCTCATACCTGCATGGGAGACCCAAAGAAGCTCCTGGCTCCTGGTTTCAGATTGGCTCAGCTCTGGTTGTGGCCATTTGGGGAGTGACCCAGTGGATGGAAGACCTTTCTCTCTACCTCTCAGATAAATAAATAAAATATCTAAAAAAAAAAAAAAAAAAAGAAGAAGAGAAAGAAAACCAGGCCCAGGAAGACAGCCTCAATCCCTGCCTCTGGTGCTTACTTTATGCAGACTTAGAACATTAACACTAGGGACGGGCAGCGGCCTGGCGATGAAGCTGCCAGCCAGGAAGCTCGCATCCCTCTCATACAGCCTGGGTGTGATGCCCTCCTCTGGCTCCGCATTCCATTTTCCCACCAGGACAGAGCCTGGAAGGCAGCAGTGAGAGCTCAAGTGACTGGGTTCCTGTCAGCCACACCGAAGACCTGGATCAACCAGAGACCAGCACTCATAAGGGGTGGCCTAACCTGCTGCAGCACGATGCCGCCCCCTAAAGTAGTTCATACTGTCCCTATTTTGCAAATGAAAACACTGAGGTACAGTAACTTGCCCAGGATCACACAATGTAAACTGCCCACTCCTGGCTCAGGCCCACAGGTTCTGGGTATCTGGGGAGCAAATAGTGGATGAGAGCACGCTTTCTCTCTCAAAAAAAAAAAAAAAGAAAAATTTGGAACACACTAGAACTGTCATATTAAACACTAGTTTGATACACACTTGCATTTACATGAAGTTTAGGTCCCATAGAAAGCACAGATTGGGGTCAGTGCTGTGGCATAGTACGTTAAGCCTCAAACTGTGACATCAGCATCCCATATGGGCGCTGGTTCTAGTCCCAGCTACTCTACTTCCAATCCAACTCTCTGCTAATGGCCTAGGAAAGCAATGGAAGATGGCCAAATGCTGGGCCAGTGACACTCACATGGGAGACCTGGAAGAAGCTCCTGGCTCCTAACTTCAGATTGGCCCAGCTCTGGCCATTGTGGTCATTTAGGGAGTGAACCAGTGGATGGAAGACCTCTCTCTGACTCTCCCTCTGTCTGTAACTCTGACTCTCAAATAAATAAATCTTTTTTTAAAAAAAAGCATAGATGAAAGTTATATGAATACCTATGCTAATAAAATGACATTAGCTAATACCTGTATGAGTACAGTGCTTACCATGTATAAGCACTGTTGCAAGCCTTTTATATAAGCTAACCCATTTAATCTTTACCTTGTGAAATAGGAACTGTTTCCAACCCTGTTTTCACATGACTGAAGCGGGCAAGTCAATGTGCATTGTATATGTGGTTTCTGTTTTTTAGATTTTTCTTTTTAAATGTGTTTGAAAGTCAGAGTTACAGAGAGAGAAGGAGAGACAGAGAGAGATCTTCTGTCCACTGGTTTGCTTCCCACATGGCCACACAGCTGAGGCTGAGTCAGGCAGAAGCCAGAGGTCAGGAGTTTCTTCCAGGTCTTCCACGTGGGCAGCAGGGCCCAAGCACTTAGGACATCTGCTGCTGCTTTTCCCTGGCCATTAGCAGGGAGCTGGATTGGAAGTGGAGCAGCCAGGATATCAACCGGCACCCATATGGGATGCTGGCATTGCAGCTGCTGGCCCTACCTGCTATTGTCATAACACCAGTCCCCTTATATGCAGTCTTTAAACTCTACGTATTTCAGTTTTCTGCTTTTAGAACTCGAGATTGGATCTGTGGCAATTTTCACCCAGGCAGTCCAGCACTACTTTATGTCTCTCCAATTAAAATGCTTCACTTCCAACCAGCTCCCTGCTAATGCACCTGGGAAAGCAGCGGATGATGGTCCAAGTCTTTGGGCCCCTGCACCCACGTGGAAGACCTGGATGGAGTTCCTGGCTCCTGGCTTCAGCCTGACCTAACTGTGACTGTTGTAACCATTTCAGGAGTGAACCAGCACATGAAAATTTCTTGTCTCTCTCTCTCTCTCTAACTCTGCCTTTCAAATAAATTAATTAATAAATATTTTAAAAACTATATTAACTACTTTATAGGGTCATCTTGAGGTTTAAATGAGTTAACAATCAGAGAGCTTAAAATACCACCAAGCCTGCCTCCCTCTGGTGCAGCTGGCTAGCATGTTTGGCTGCTAACCGAAAGAATGCCACCTAGTTCAGAACTTTAGCTTTTACTGCTGCTGTTGTTTTAGCACATGTCAAGAGTTAAAGCTATACATCTAATATCTTTCAAGTTGTAGAAGATAAAAGCTACTACATATATAACCAATTCACATCCAAATTAATATCTTTGAAATAATTACGGATTACTAACAACTTTTTTGTGTCTAGTAAAATTACCAAAAAGGGGTGAGGGGAGAAATAACTATAAAGGAAACTAAACAAATCTTTAAAATACGTGGGGGCCAGCATTGTGGTGCAGTAGGCTAAGCCTCTGCCTGTGGTGCCAGCATCCCATATGAGTGCTGGTTCAAGTCCCGGCTGCTCCTCTTCCAATCCAGCTCTCTGCTATGCCCTGGGAAAGCGGTGAAAGATGACCCAAGTGCTTGGGCCCCTGCACCCGGAAGAAGCTCCTGGCTCCTGGCTTCAGATCAGCCCAGCCCCAGCCACTGCAGCTACTTGGAGAGTGAACCAGTGGATGGAAAATCTTCCTCTCTGTCTCTGTCTCTCTCTCTGTAACTCTACCTCTCAAATAAATAAATAAATCCTGAAAAAATAAATAAAATATGTGAAGCGGGGGCTGGTGCTGCGGTGCAGTGGTTAAGCTACCACTTTCAATGCAGGCATCCCATATCAGAATGCAGGTTCAAATCCCAGCTGCTTCACTCCCGTTCCGGCGTTTTGCAAATGCACCTAGGAAGACTCTGAATAATGGCCCAAGTATCTGAGCCCTGCCACCCATGTGGGAGACCTGAATGGAGTTCTAGGTTCCTGGCTCTGGCTGAGCCCAGCCCTGGCTGTTCTGGCCATTTGGGGAGTGAACCTGCAGATAGATAGAAGGTTCTCTGTCACTCTGCCTTTCATTTTTTTTTTTTTTTTTTTTTGACAGGCAGAGTGGACAGTGAGAGAGAGAGACAGAGAGAAAGGTCTTCCTTTTGCCGTTGGTTCACCCTCCAATGGCCGCCGCTGCAGCCGGCGCACCGCGCTGATCCTGGCAGGAGCCAGGAGCCAGGTGCTTTTCCTGGTCTCCCATGGGGTGCAGGGCCCAAGCACCTGGGCCATCCTCCACTGCACTCCCTGGCCATAGCAGAGAGCTGGCCTGGAAGAGGGGCAACCGGGACAGAATCCGGCGCCCCAACCGGGACTAGAACCCGGTGTGCCGGCGCCGCAAGGTGGAGGATTAGCCTATTGAGCCACGGCGCCGGCCACTCTGCCTTTCAAATAAATATTTTAAAAATAAACTACATGAAGCAGATAGTACAATTCTGTCATTTTGTCCTAACAAAGAACTGTCCCACTCATAAAGGAATCCCAACTTGCTGAAACGGAAACCTCTTCCCGGTAGGACCTGATTTCTGGCACATACTGAGTTCTATTTTTATTAAATTCAAGTTATCTCTCAACCATCTAATACATTTATGCAAAGGAAGAATTTTCAGAAATAAGGAAAAATGAATACACTGAAGTTAGTTTCCCTAGACTCAAAAAAATCTTCAATCACTATGCACCCTGGCCTCCAAGAACTGAGGCTCAGAAAGAAGAAACAAGAACACCAGGCTGACGCTGTATCAGAGAGGACAGGAAGCCCCCACAGCACTGTGCTTTGCGTTGTAGTTAGAGGAGGAAATATTTATTGCATTTGATTCAAGTATAATTGAAAATTCCTTTCTCAAAAGGAGTCATAAAAAGAGAAATGTCTACTCTATCAAATAGACTATACAGACACACAACGCCCGCAGGAACATCTCCAGAAGACTGCTCCAGCTCAGGCCCTGTTTCTCAGTCCTCAGGCAGCTCCAGCTGCTCTGCACATTACTGTTTTTCTTACACATGTATTTGTTTATTTATTTGAAACTCAGAGACAGAGAAAAATATTCCATCTACTGGTTCACTCCCCAAATGGCCACAACAGCCAGAGCTGGGCCGGTCAGAAGCCAGGAGCCAGGATCCAGGAGCTTATTCTGGGTCTGTCATATGGGTGCAGGGGCCCAAGCACTTGAGCCACCTTCTGCTGCTTTCCCAGGCCCATCAGCAGGGAGCTGGAAGGGAAGCGGAGCAGCTGGGACTCCAACCGGTACCTATGAGATGGTGGCATCGCAGGCAGCAGCCTTACCCACTACACCACAGCACCGGCCTCTGCACATCACATTATAGAACCCACTTCTATTTCCCATCCAGGAGAAAATGAGACACAGGATGTAACGTTGGGTAAACCCTAGCTGTTACCTGGGCCTTGTCACTCTCCAGGTCTCTGAAATGTCACCATGTTGTAAAATGGAGATGATAGCCACTTCTGAGGCACACGGCAGAGAACTGAGGTAAGTAGGCAGAGGAATCAACACTGCTTGCATACAACAAAGGCAGCTGCCATTGTTATTCCCGTGTTTAGGGGCAGGCAGAGGAGGTCTTAGGAAAAGTGGGGAGCCACAGAGCAACTCACGTGGGCGCCTGGGTGCCAGCGGAACTGGCGCTGAGTCCCAAGGATGTTGCCAGCATGCACGTAGTGACCTGGAAGAGAAGCCCCAAGTGTGCTGACTCTCGGCCCCGGTGACCACAGCAGCACGGTCCACTGCCCAGAAAGCAGACGGCTCAAATGCTGCACACCAGCCTCGCAGCCTGCCCCCGTCCCCACACTGCTCCCAGACGGTCCAACACAGCAGCGCCCAGCCCCCACCCAGCAGTCTCCTCTCTAGTTGCACGGCTGAGGGCTGCACATGCGCACGCCTCCTCAGGTCTTCTGTGCCCCTTGAATCTGCATGGTGCGGCGAGCTGAGAGGAGAGGACAGGACTCGACACCCTGGGGCTTCCCAGGCTCAGGTGCAGCTGGGAACAGAAGCCAAGACACAGCCTCACCTTCAAGCTTCTTGATGCCAAAGCGCTTGCCTGGGGCCTTGCCACCGAGGTTTTTAGAGCTGCCGCCTGTCTTCTTGGATGCGTATCTGACAGCGAGCGCAGCAGCCGGGGAGGGGCTCAGCAGGGCTGTAACTGCAGAGGAAACAGAAACTTCGCTCAGGGAGGCTCTCAGGGACCTTTCCTAGGCCTCAGCGGACCACTTGCTAAGCTGAGAGGCGGGGGGAGCCGAGACAGACGTGTGAGGAGAACACAAATACTCCCTGAGTGTGCGGGAAGGCCTTGTGCTTTTCTCAAGGCAGGGGTCAACTCATTCCTTCCTGTGCAGGCCATACGCACTGCATGAGGGGGGTGGGGGCAGTGAAATGGAAACGCGAGCAAACATCATGTGCTCTGGGCCCTGACCCGTTCAGTCCTGCTGAGGAGAGAAACACCACAGCGCGGGAGAGGCCAGCGAGGGGACAGGGCGCTGCTGCCCGCCTCGCAGCCTCACTGCCCCAGGTCACACCGGAGAGGGGCTCCGCCTCAGCCGCACCACCACTGCCTTTCCTATCTGCTCATCTCACAGATGGATTGGATATTTAAGGCACACTGGGTCCGGGGGTGGCTCCCAGCCGTTTCAAAAGCAACACCCTTTCTTCCCAAAGTCCATCAAGTGGTAGCAGTTGTGGTGCAGTGGGTAAAGCTGCACTTAGGACGCCTGCATCCCTTATTAGAACCGCGGCACTGAGTCCGGCTCCTCCACTTCCCATCCAGCATCCCGCCAGTGCGTCTGGAAAGCAGACCAAGGCCCAAGCACTTGAATTTCTGCCACCCACGTAGGAGACCTGGGTGGAAATCCTGGCTCCTGGTTCCAGCATGGCCCATCACCAGCTGTTGCGGGCACTTGGGGAGTGAACCAAAGGATGGAAGCTCTCTCTGTCTCTCCTCTGCCTTTCAAACAAACAAACAAATCTAAAAAAAAAAGTCCATCAGAGATCCAACCAAGACCAACACAATGTCCTTGTTATCTCACCTCTCCAGACTTGTTCCAAAGTGTTCAGTGGCATTTATTTTAAAAAAGGAAAGTGAACTAAAGTTCATTTTAACTCAGATGGAAGTCCTTGCTGTATGACTGGCCTTGGCTGGCAGGTCTTGCCCCTGGGTCTGCTGAGACAGTCATGGTTTAAGGACCAGGATAGCATCTTAGAGAGGCCTTGTAGATCTGTGGTGCATGTAAATTCAGAGTTCCCAAAGCCTATGTTTCTGCAATTTTCATGAGAAGAGATGAGCTGGGACAAAGGGCCAGAGACAGCATGCTAAAGGCCTAGCACAGGGGCTGGCGCTGTGGAGAAGCCGCTAAAGCCACCGCCTGAGATGCCAGCATCCCATATAGGTGCCAGTTAGAGTCCTGGCTGTTCCACTTCTGATCCAGCTCCCTGCCTACGTGCCTGGGAAAACAGCAGAAGATGGCCCAAGTGCTTGGGCCCTTGCACCCATGTGGGAGACCAGGAAGAAGTTCCTGGCTACTGGCTTCAGCCTGGCCCAGACCTGGTCATGGCAGCCATTTGGGGAGTGAACCAGCGGGTAGAAGATCTCTTTCTCTCTGTAGCTCTGCCTTTCAAATAAATAAAATAAATCATAAAAAAAAAAAACAAAACTTTAAACATCCATTCATTTACTTAACTTGGGAACTGGCCTTTTGCTTTTTCTATATTATCTCATTCACAAATCTTCGCTCTTAACCCGTACTTCCCATCCTCTTCCTCAACATAAATCACTCCACAATCTACCCAGCTGCTCAGAGACCAAGGAGTCCCTGCAGGCTTCCTCCACATATCCAGTGCACCGGCAGCTCTGGATCTCAAGTCCACTCATTTCCTCCAAGTTCAGGGCCACCACCATCTTGGCTAAACCATCTCTCATCATATGACAGCTTCCCATCTGGTTACCTCATTTCTACCAAAACTCCCTTAGTTACATAAACACAATAGTTTCTCAGAATGTGAAACTGGGGGCCAGTGTTGTGTCCAAGTGGGTAAAGCTGCCATCTGCAATGCCTGCATCCTATATGGGTGCCATCCAGCCGCTCCACTTCTGATCCAGCTCCCTGCTCATGGCCTAGGAAAGCAGTGAAGGATGGTCCAGGTATTTGGGCCCCTGCCACCCAGGCTCCTGGCTTCAGCCTGGCTCAGCCCTGGCCATTGTGGCCATGTGTGGAGTGAACCAGTGGATGGAAGATCTTGCTCTCTGTTAACTCTTTCAAAATAAGTAAAAATAAATCCTTAACAAATATGTAAAGCTGGATCAAGTCATTCTCTGGTTCCTACAGGTCTCGGCCTTTTAGGTCTTTAGGTGTTATCAGCTGCTAGGGCCTTCCTGACCAATGTAAAACACACACACACACACACAAACACGTTCTTAGCACCGATCACAATTTACAACTGTCATATATATGTATGCTTATTTACCGGCTAAATAAAAAATGAAAACTAGAAAGGGCCATCGGGAGGGTGGAGACCATGTCTTCACGTTTTCCGTTGGTACTTCGAACACCCACCGGTGTCCGGCACCAAATTAGATCTCAACATGTTGAATGAACAGATGAACGTTCTGAAGTCCAACGTGTCAATATTACTGCTCCTTCTTACACATGAAGGGATCCACGCAAGCCCAGCGAGGCAATGCGGCGTGCCCACGTCACCAACAGCCAGAGAAGCGAGAAATCCACACGCAGGGGAGGGCCGAATGCTCCCCAGATACTCCCCAAGCCCGCGGCTCCGCCCAAGATACGGCACGTGACCGGCCACCGCCGCCACTCCAACCGGGCGTGCCACAGAACTCCCCAATCCCGCACCCAGGGACCTCCGCGGGGGCTGGCTGCCACCTCCCGGGTCCCCTGCCAGATCTCTCCGCAACGACTACATTGTCCCATTACCGGCCGCCCGCGTCCTCAGGGCCAGCGCCGCCGACGCCATGTTTGCCTTACAATCGCTTCCGGTCTCGAAAGGCTGCTTCCGCTACCGGGAGATCTACTTCCGGGTCCGGTGCGGCGGTTGAACGAGTGGCGCGAGGAAGTACAGGTGAGCGTCCGGGGTGTCGGACTTCACCGGCCAAGGCTGTCTTCCAGAGCGCCGCTGCGCGGGAGCTTGGTGGCCAGGGCGTCGGGGTCCTCCGCCCTGACGGCTGACCTGGGAGGCGCGGAGCGTGCCGGGCAGGGGTCTGCTTGTCCGAGTGGCTCATTTTGCAGGAGTCAACCGAGATCCCGCTGCGGGACACGGATGAGACCCCCTCCCTTGTCTTTAAAGTGCCAGACACCGTCCTAAGCGCGGTAATGCGTTAATTCTCACGGCCTTACAAAGGCGGTATTGCTATCCCTGTTGTACCAAGGGAGAAACAGGCCGAGGATTAGCTGGCTCACCCAGGGTCAGTAAGTTTTTGTTCGAGAAAGGAGGCTTGCATATGACCCAGCTAGTCCAGTCCTCAGTTTATATGCAAGAGAATTGAAAATATGCCCACATAAAAACTTGTACCTCGATGTTCATAACCGCGTTATTCATAGTGACCAAAAATAGAAACAAACCAAACGCCCCTTAAGTGATGCATAAGCAAAATGTGGTAGAGCCACACGTTGGAATATTCAGCCATGAAAAGCAATAAAGTACTGGCCCATACTGCGACACAGATGAAACTCCCAAACATAAAAGGGAAAGAGCCACATAGTGTGTGATTCCTCTGGATATGCAGTATCCAGCATGGGCAGACCCATAGAGACATGGTAAATCTGTGGTTGCCAGGGGCTGGGGGGAGGAGGATGGACGATGATAGCTTAATGACTTCTGAAGTCATAGAAATGTTCTGGCATTAGCAGTGGTAGTTGCACAACACTAAATATATTAAAACTGTTGGGCTGTACACTTAAAAAGATGAATTTTTTTGAAAGATTTATTTATTTGAGAAGTACAGTCACAGAGAGGCAGAAGCAGAGAGAAGTCTTCCATCTGCTGGTTCACTCCCTAAATGGCTGCAAAAGCCGGAGACAGGTTGATCTGAAGCCAGGAGCCTGGAGCTTCTTCTGGGTCTCCCATGCAGGACTTGGGCCATCCTCTGCTGCTTTCCCAGGCCATAGGAGAGAGCTGGATCGGAAGTGGAGCAGCTGGGACTCCAACCAGCACCCACATGGGATGCTGACACTGCAGACAGCAGCTTAAACTGCTAGGCCACAGCACCATTTCAAATGGAGAGGTCTAGAGGGTGGTGATGAGTGTTGTTACTATCCAGTGAAAATTATAATATTATCCCTGCTTTTTAAGATTTATTTATTTATTTGAAAGGCAGAGTTACAGAGAGGCAGAGAGAGAGAGAGAGAGAGGTCCTCTATCCGCTGGTCCACTTCCCAAATGGCAGCACAACCAGAGAGCTAGGCTGATCTGAAGCCAGGAGCTTCTGGGTCTCCCACACAGGTATAGGGGCCCAAGGACTTGGGCCACTTCTACTGCTTTCCTAGGCCACAGCAGAGAGCTGAGTTGGAATTGGAACAGCCAGGACTTGAAGCAGCACCCAATGGGATGCCAGCACTGCAGGTGGTGGCCCTATCTGCTATACTGCAGTGCCGGCCCCCCTACTTTATTTAAACCTCGCCTAGACAGAAAAGATTTGAGGAAGGCTCCTGTTAGACCACAGATGTTGCTGTTCGGGGTTCCAGACAGGATACGGTAGGGATGTCCTCTTTCTCTGCTCATATTTCAAAAAGCTTGGCTGTATCTAGTGTACAGAATTGGATGCTACAGTCTCTGTCACCTCTCTTTTCCCTTATAGGGAATTCATTCAAATAGCACGTGTTGATGGCTCTAAAGTCACCACTGTCACTAGAATCCAGTGGGAGTGAATCCGAAGAGTTACCCACGTTCGCCTTTCTGAAGAAGGAATCATTTTCAACCAAGAAGAGGCAGGAGAAGGTCATAGTGGTTGTCAGCTCAGATTCCGAGGGCTCCTGTCCACCATCACCAGAGCCAATAGGTCCATCCCCTGGCCCAGACACAGAGGAGGCGCTCCCACACGCAGAGCCAGTCCCGGTACTGAGCAGTGGAAGTGAGGACGAAGAGGAGTTCATCCCCTTGGCCGAGAGACTCACATGTAAGTTTTTGACCCACAAGCAGCTGAGCCCTGAAGACTCAAGCTCTGCAATTAGAAGCGTCTTGGATCATGAGAGTAATGAAGGAGCATCCTGTGACCGGATCCCCAACATCCCTGCTGTCCTCCACGGATCCTCAGGGAGGAACGCACCGAGTGGCAGGGACCCTATCTTGGACAGCCCTTGCCGTCAGCCTGCAGCCTACCGCTCCTCGTGTCCCCTCGAGAGCGACAGCTTGACAGTGACCAAAGCAAATCTTGACATCCCCCCACCTCAGAAGACAGCCACGCGTGGTCAGAAGGTGCGGGGATGGCGGCAGCAGGGGCAAGCGAGCCGGAAGGAAAGCCCCCCGAGACAGCAGAGACGGAAGAAGGAAGCACCAGCTGGCAGGCTGAAGGCGCCGAGGCCAGAGGAGTGCTTGAAGCACATCGTCGTGGTGCTAGATCCAGGTCCTGCGGGCGGCCGGCTTCGCCTGGAGCCGGGGGATGGCTCTCCGGACCACCCACTAATGATCCCTTTCCCATCTGTTGCAGAGCTTCTGCAGACGGAAGGCGGGGGCCAGCTCCTGGGCGCGCTGCAGTCCATGGAGTGCCGCTGTGTGGTCGAGGCGCAGGCCGTGCCGTGCAGCCTCAGCTGGAAGAGAAGGGCCGGGCCGTCTGAGGTAGAGTTTTCTGGCTGATGTCTCTCCTCTCCTCCTTCACGCTTTCCTCTGAAAGGCTGTCAGGGCCCCCAGCAGGAGAACAGATGGCACACTCGGGGGGATTTGAGGAGGATGGAATTTTGGGACTGTTTTCCAAGGCGTGGGCAGGGTGCCAGGGAACCACAGGGGAGGGGACAGCGCAGCTCTGGGGTCCTCGACCTCGGCTTGGTTGACATTTCAGACCGGGTGCCTCTGTGTGGTGGGGCTGTCCTGTGCATTGTGGGATGTTACCCACTAGATGCCAGTAGCTGTCTTCCCAGCTGTGACAACCAAAATGGCTCCAGGCATTGCCAAATGTCCTTTGTGGAAAAAGAACCAGAGGCATAGCTGCCACCATCCCTAGGCCTGAAGGGGTGGGGGAGGGGTGGGTAATGGAATCCAGAAGGGGAGACCACCTGAGAAGCTTTGCTCTCCCATAGAGGGGTGCAGTGAGCTGTAGGTGAGCCCATGCCCTGACTTCCTTCCCGTGGGTCCCCTCCTGGGGGTCCCCGCTGGTCACACCCAGCTGGGAGTCAGCGGGCCTATGGATTTCAGGACTCCTGTGGAGACAACCTCAGGCAGAGAGCAGAGGGGGCAGGGGGCGAGGGGTGAGCGTCTGCACAGAATTCCTGGTTCTCCAACTGGGCTTTGGCTGGGGCCGCGGCCTCCGTGACTGTGTTGCTGTGACCCTGGGCACCCAAGTGCATGTCTTTGTGCCTCAGCTGCCTTGTGTCTGAAATGAGGACACTGTTACATCCCTTTCTGTCCCCCCAGTTCGAGATGACCTGGCACTGGCACGTGGAAGGCACACAGTGAATGAATGTTTTCCCCAGCCCGGGCTCTCCAGGTCACCACGGTTCCTGGACCAACCACTTCTCTGGGAATCCAGAATCCTCCGCCCCTTATTTTCAAGGGTCTAGAGATGAAGCATTAGGAGTTCTTTTTGTCTTTTTTTTTTTTTTAATTAAGATTTATTTTGAGGCCGGCGCCGCGGCTCACTAGGCTAATCCTCCGCCTAGCGGCGCCGGCACACTGGGTTCTAGTCCCGGTCAGGGCGCCGGATTCTGTCCCAGTTGCCCCTCTTCCAGGCCAGCTTTCTGCTGTGGCCAGGGAGTGCAGTGGAGGATGGCCCAGGTGCTTGGGCCCTGCACCCCATGGGAGACCAGGAAAAGCACCTGGCTCCTGGTTCCTGCCATCGGATCAGCGCGGTGCGCCGGCCGCAACGCGCCGGCCGCGGCGGCCATTGGAGGGTGAACCAACGGCAAAGGAAGACCTTTCTCTCTGTCTCTCTCTCTCACTGTCCACTCTGCCTGTCAAAAAAAAAAAAAAAAAGATTTATTTTGGGGCCAGCCCTGTGGTTTAGTGGGCCATTGTGGTCCTTTGGGAAGTGAACCAGCAGATGGAAGATCTCCTTCTCGCTCAGTATTTCTGCCTTACAGATAAATAAGTAAATCTTAAAGGAAAAAAAAAAAAAAAAAGATTTATTTACCTGAAAGGCAGAGTTCCAGAAAAAGAGGGAGAGACAGAGAAGGAGAGAGATCTTCCATCTGCTGGTCCATTCCCCAAATGGCCGCAAAGGCTGGGGCTGGGCCAGGCCAGAGAAGTTAAAAGTCTTGTTCAGGGTCACAGCTGGCACTGGGACCCAGGGCTCCTCCCACCTGCACTTTGCTGTGGTATGGGTCTTGCCTTTGCCTGTAGGGACCCAGCTAGAAAACTTCCCACAAAAGCCCTGTTCCCCGGGTACCTCAGTGTCCTGTGCCGCTGTTGGGCTGCTGGCCTGGGGCGCCTTGGTTCTGACTGCACTGGCTGTGACACAGAGATGCTCTCAGACTGAGGTTCCCCTCGGGATTCTTACCTTCATCACACAAAACCCACATGTCTAGGGCCGGCATTGTGGTGCAGTGGGTTAAGCCCCGGCTGCTGCACCTGGGAAAGCAGCAGACAGTCCGAGTGCTGAGGCCCCAGCCATCCACGTGGGAGACCTGGATGGGGTTCCAGGCTCCAAGCTTCTTTCTGGCCCAGCTCTGGCTGTTCTAGCCATCTGGGAAGTTGAACCAGTGGATGGAGGATCTAGCTGTCTGTGTCTCTCTCTCTTCTCCCTCTCTAACTCTGCCTTTCAAATAAATAAGTGTTAACAATAATAAAAACCTAGTGTGTATAAGGGCCACCCACATAGCATCTGCCTTCAAAGCCAGAGAAACTTGTGTTCTTTCCAATCCTTTGGAAACGTTTTCTTTCTCTCCATTCCCCTACTCAAATGCGTGGCGGGGAAAAACAGTTGCTTCTCAACTCCCTTCAACTGGCTGCTGGTCCTTGTTTAGTCACCCAGCCTGAGATGCAGTGTCCCAGGGTTAAACCGGTGAGGTCTGAGGGGGGATGGGATCACAGGTGGTTGTCTCCTGCCACCATGACTGCGTTTAAGAATGGTGATGCACAAGGGTCAAGGGCAAGTTTGTCCACACAGCAGACCGGGGCACTCCGACAGGTGCTCTGTGCCGCTCACCTCCCTCGCCGCGCTGTGTCCGGTCCTTTGGCAGGATGGAGAGGCCTGGGCGGAGGAGCCGATGGTGCTGGTGGTGCTGCTGGCGGAGGCGTTTGTATCCATGGTCCACAACTTTAAGCAGGTGGGCAGCACCAGAGGGGTGGGGGCCGAGCATGCGACCGAGGCCGACTCACCTGGGAGCAGGTTTTAGTTCTGCCCCTCTTGCAGGGAAGTCTAGGCAGCACTGAGGAAGGGAAGCAAACACTTCGAGGCTTCGTCGCTGATGTCACGGCAAGGACAGCGGGGAAAGCTCTGTCGCTGGTGATCGTGGACCAGGAGAAACTCTTCAGGTTTGAGTTTGCCCAGGAGATTTAGTGTTAATGGGGCAAGTGATTGGCCTAGCAGGTTGGGATGCCCACATCCCACATCCTTGTGTCTGGGTTCAAGCCCCAGCCCTGCTGCTAGCTCCAGCTTCCTGCTCGTGCAGCACCCGGGAGACAGAGGTCAGAGACCTGGAATGAGTCCTTAGCTTTGGCCTTGCTCAGTCCTGGCTGTTGCATGCATTTGCAGGGTAAACCAGCAGACGAGAGCTCTTGTCTCTTCCTCTGCCTCTCAAGTAAGTAGTGTAAATTTTTTTTTCCTGGAAAGCAGGGGGCCGCTGTTGGGCCAATGGAAGTGAGTTTATTCACCCAGATCTGAGTTACTCTGCAACACGGCGTCCTGCAAAGCCCCGGGGATGCCTGGTCCTGTCTTCTTGCCCGTCTTTTTCTAGAGCACAGCCTGGAGCTGCCTCTTTTCTTGGATTTCCTCCTCTGCTTCAGTCCCCAGAATCCACCAAAGAGAAGGAAACAGGGAGCAGGACACAAACAGGCCAAGGAGAAGCAGCAGCAGAGACAACCGGAGGCCAAGACAGGGCACGTGGTGTCCAGGGTAGACGTGGAAGAGGTAAGAACTGTCACCTGAGTCAGGCTGGGTACTCACTGGTCACCTAACCAGATTTGCAACTGATAAAAAACAAAGTGGCCACTGGACGCTGCTGTCTGCATTGACACCGAGTAGGTGAGAAGGGGCCACACAGGGAGCCGAGGGCTGGGTGCAGCTCCAGCAGTGAGAGGAGAGCGGTTTCCAGTGGTCTCCGCACCCTTGCAGTCCATCGCTGCTTTGGGGTTTCTAGGCACTGGTGGATCTGCAGCTGCACACAGACGCCCAGGCTCGAATCGTGCAGAACTGGAAGGAGCTGACCGACTTCGCCTGCGCATTCACAAAGGCTGTGGCTGAGGCGCCCTTCAAGTGAGTGCCCCGAGCAGGGCCAGCCTCCGTGCTGGACCTTGTCCTTTACAAGGGTTCTTGCAGCCAAGGAAAATGTCCCTTTCCCCTAGACTCCACTGTCAGCCCTGGTCTCCAGCTTAAGAAGCAGCTGACCTCAGGCTGGGGGCGTTGCTGGGATGAGCCAAGCCCAATCCTTGAAATAGTCTCCTTAGCTTAGTGCAGGTGCACCTTCTACAGGTTGACACTAGGTTACCAATAGGTCGAGTAGCCAGAACTCATCATAGGTCTGAACACAATTTAGCAATCCTATAGTCAATGTTAAAAGGACATTTTTAATTATTTTTTATTAGGCAGAGTTAGACAGTGAGAGAAAGAGACAGAGACAAAGGTCTTCCTTCCGTTGGTTCACCCCCCAAATGGCTGCTTCCTCTTGGTCTCCCATGCGGGTGCAGGGCCCAAGCACTTGGGCCATCCTCCACTGCCCTCCTGGGACACAGCAGAGAGCCGGACTGGAAGAGGAGCAACCGGGACTAGAACCCGGTGCCCATATGGGATGCTGGCGCCGCAGACGGAGGATTAACCAAGTGAGCCACGGTGCCGGCCCTAAAAGGACATTTTTAAGCCTACTTGGTTCAAAAAGTGTTTATATTCAGAATTTAAAATTGATAAGGGACTTCAGAGAATCCTCTCCAAGTCCCTTATTTTATACCTCAGGGAACTGAGGCCTGAAGTTTGACTTACCCAAGTTCCCAGCAAGTTAGAAGAACCAGAAATTCTCCAGATTGCCTGGTATCCAGGCCCTTGTGCTGCCGTGGTACACTGCCTCCCTGGGCACCAGAGCCCAACCTCAACATAAGCCAAAGGTCTGGTCCCTTCTCTTCCAATGGAAAGGACCAGATGTCGCCTTTGGGGGAATCAGCAGCTAGCACTGTGCCTGGGAACAAAGTCCGCGCTCAAACTGCTGGAGGCTCAGGCTGGACACACAGGGTGGCCCTCTCCTGAGTCACTGCGGGGTCTCTCGGTTCCTGTGGAGGGGACAGGTGTAGGGGAGTAACGGGCAGCCCACAGCTCTGCCACCGCCCTGTTACAGGAAGCTCCGAGACGAGAGCAGCTTCTCCTTCTGCCTGGAGAGTGACTGGGCTGGAGGGGTGAAGGTGGACCGCTCTGGCAGGGGGCTTGCACTGGTCTGGAGGCGGCAGATTCAGCAGCTGAACCGAGTCAGCCTGGAAATGGCCAGTGCTGTTGTGGATGCCTACCCCTCCCCGCAGCTCCTGGTTCAGGTACGCCACTCCGGAGTCCCTGCTAGGTGCCCGAGGTCTCAGCAGGGCCCTAGAGTCCCACTGACCGCAGCATTGAGAGCCCAGGGATGCCTTGCAGATCAGCACTGTGGGTCTGCTGAGATCCAAGTGGCTGGCCCCCGGAGAGAGAGCAGGTTCTCGTGCCCCAGCCCATGCCTGCTGTCCTCCCTAGTCATGGATGAGGGATGATCATGGATGACGGGGTCGTAAGAGGCCAATCGTGGCTTTCAGGCATATCGGCGGTGCGTCTCGGTGCAAGAACGCCAGAATCTGCTGGCAGACATCCAGGTGCGCCGTGGGGAAGGGGTGACAGCCACCTCGCGCCGGGTTGGGCCGGAGCTGGCCAGGCGGATCTACCTTCAGATGACCACCTCGCAGCCAGACCTCTCTTTAGACAGTGCCGACTGATGCCAGCCCTTGGGGACAAGGATGGAAAGCTGGTTTTGACCTCCCCAGCTACAAGACCTGACTGCCATTAAGACTTGGAAGTGCCTTCTGGGACGTGCACAAGTCGACGAGGCCTGCAGTGGGCTCTCCTGGGTCTTGTTGGTGTCTTTCCCTGTCAGCTCAGGGCAGAGGCTGCAGCCCTGGCATTGACATTCACACTGAATGTTCCTCTCCTGGCCAGTCAGCTGCCACGGACAAACCACCCTGCCAGCCCTCAAGACACAAAGGAACACACACAGACCATTCAGACACGTATTTAATAATCATAGAAATCCAAAAGAATCGGCATGGACTCTGGAAGTCGTGAGTGAGCTGTCGCCTGTGGGTTGGCTTGACTAGGCTCAGCCACTGAGCTGCCTCAACCAGCCAAGGAACAGGGGTTTGATGACTATGCTGACTTCTGTATTATCTTAATCTCACCTTACATATTAACGTGTTTAGCTTCAATAAAGCATTTGTACCAATGGCTCTGGAGCGTGGAGGAAGACTAAAGGAATGTGTAGTGACTCTGAGTAAGGTGTGGACCTACGCAGCAGAGCTGTCCTTGGAGGAGAGGAGAACAAAGTCCTTTCTTGCAGTATCAGGACAGTGCTATCAAGATGGGCCGCTGGGGCTGAGCAGTTGGACCCTGCCCTCTGTGAGCTGGCAGGCTCTTGCTCCCTCCGGAGAGAGGCCAAATGCTTGCAGTTGGGAGTTTCTGGTGAATGAGCACCATGGCAGTCATTTCTGATCCCTGCATCCAGCTGTTGTAAAAAGATGGCAAAGGAGGCGAGAGAAAGCTGCTGTAGTAGACGAGAAGGGACGGTGCTGCCCGATGTGTGCTGGGCATTAGTGTGCCACTGCAGCTCCAGGGCGCTGCCCGGTTCCCTTCATTGGTTCCCTTCAGTTAAAGCAGTTCTAGACCTCAGCGTCTACAAAGCCAAGTGCTCAGGCTGCCCCTGAGGTATTTAGTCACACTGAGTACTAACAGCTGTCAGGGCACTGTAGCTTTGTAGAAACCCGCTTCCTTGCCTACTGGTAATCAGAGTTAATGCTCCAAAATTCACGCAAGGAGCCCGGATGTTACCATTTAATGGAAACCACATATGTTGGGGCAGGACTCCACAGGAGCTGCTGGAGGCCTCGATAGCGTGATGTTTCTGTTAGTGATGAATCCGTCTGCCGTGAAAGTCTATACTTCGGCTGAGACATACTCACTTCTGATGTGAGTTCTGTTCTCTGAGGATATTATAAAGGAGGCAAAGTGACAAAGAAATAGCACTGAGTAGGAGTCCAATTCTACTTCACACTAGCTGGGAGACTGCAGGCAAGCCACGGGAGGCCTGTTTCCGTGTTTTCAAGTATTACACTGGACCACGTGGTCAGGAAGTCCCTTTCACAGCTAGCTTGTGTGTGGTCACAAAAGGGCTTGACTGTCTGAGGTCCTTAAGAAAATAGAAATGTCCCCCTGCCCTGCAACTTAGGCTGCATTTGCTGAGTGTAGTGTTCCCCTAGTCCCTTCTAACGCACTGCCTCCTGATCTGCCCTGATTGACCAGGGAGGAATGAAAGAAAAGGTTTGTGACATACAAAAGTATAAATGTAGTGACAGCTGACCGTTTAGTAGAAATGAGCCTTGCCTTTACACAGCTTTGTACAACTAGAAAAGGCTATGTTGTTTACTCTCCCGCCCTCAGCCCATTCCCTTAGGCATGCAGGTAGCCGTCCCCCTCCCACCTCCTCACTCCACCAGGGGACCCTGACTAAGGAACGCAGAAGTCCTACAAAGAGGAGGGCTCAGGTACCAATCAGCAGCCATTTGATGGTGGCAGGTAGGTCTGACGCTAAAAAGAGGTTGTGTCCAGCAGAACCCAATTCCATAGGAATCCAAGCTGCAAGGCTGGGAGGCAGCAGGTGCTGAGGACAAGCTCACTGCTGGGAGTCGGTCTGCAGGACCCACTGGAGGATCTCGTGGCGACGCAGGCCCTGGACGGCATTGTCGTAGATGGCGTTCACGCTGGTGCACAGGGGCTGCTGCTGCAGCTCCGTCACCCGGCACGCAACCAGCCCGCCTGCCACACACAGCAGGAGCAGCAGCAGCAGCAGCTTCAGCACAGCCCAGGACCGAGTATGCTTCCGGGGTGGTGGCTTGCGGGGGCGGGAGCCAGACTTAGATTCTGGAGGGACAAAGTCACAGCAGACAAAGAAGCACCGTCAGTTTGAGGAGGGCCACTTTCCACCCATCTGTGCTGGTCTCTTCCAGGCAGATCCCTCCTCAAGCTCCGAAGAGAAAAACGTGTTCAGAGTATCTGAGACCCTACAAGCCTTGCTCCCCACTCCCAGAAGCTGAAACACGAAAGTCTTCCCCCTGGGGTCTTGGGAGAGCGCACTGGGACTGGGAGCACGGAGCTCACCACGCCCAGGCCCCAGGCTCTGCTTGGGAACATGGTGATGATCACAAAGAGAGGGGTGACCTGCAGACAAGGAGCAGGGAGAGAGTGCTGCCTGTTGCAGGGAATGTTGTGAATGTCATTACTGTCACGTGACACGTACATGGAAGGAAAGCCCGGAAGGTTATGCACCACTCATAAGCAGTACTGCTGAGATGGGGTGTTACAAGGGACTGCCATTTTCTGCGATACATACATCTCTTTTCTAATTCCTTTGCAATGAATATAAATTTAATTTATGATCATAAAAAAATGATTGAGACTTTTTTTAAGGCAATTAAAAAAAAAACTTGAAAGGCAGAGACAGATCTTCCATTTGCTGGTTCACTTCCTGAATGCTCATAACAGCCATGCCTAAGCCAGGAGCCCAGAACTCAAGCAGGGTCTCCCACATGACTGAGAGGGACCCAAGTACTTGAGCCATCACCTGCTGGCTCCTAGGGAAGCTGGAATCAAAAACAGAGGTGGTGGGGCTGGCACTGTGGGCACTGGTTCAAGTCCCAGCTTCACTTCCGACCCAGCTCTCTGCTATGGCCTGGGAAAGCAGTAAAAGATGGCCCAAGTCCTTGGACCCCTGCACCCGTGTGGGAGACTTGGAGGAGACTCCTGGCTGTGGATCTACTCAGCTGGGCCATTGCAGCCAATTGGGGAGTGAATCAACGGATGGAAGACCTCTCTCTCTTTCTGCCTCTTCTCTGTGTAACTCTTTCAAATAAATAAATAAATCTTTAAAAGCAAAACAAGACAAAAAAACAGAGGAGGGACACAAACCCAGGCACTCTGGTATGGGATGGGGGCATCCAAGTAGTATCTTCCCCCGCCCCAAAAAGAGAAACAGTTATTGAATGATCAACAACTGGGTGTATTGATAGCTAAGCTAAAGAAACCTGCTGTTACCAACGTCTCCTGGTAGAAACATAAAGGACACATTAGTTCAGTTAATTCTTCCTATTTTGATATTTAATTCTCACACTAGCTCTTTATGTTATCCAGTAGAAGGCAAAATATTGTTGAAATAATGACCCTAAGCAGTAAATATAAAAGAAAATAGATTCTATATTTACTGAAATCTCAAGTAGTATGCTGGGAAAATACAGGACTAGTACAGAATAAAGTACATAAAGGAAGCTGCAACTCAGCAAGAAGCACTAACAAACGACAACACTCCCTGGGTGCTAGAAAGCAGCTTAGCCAGGATGCGCACATGTGCCTTTGTAGATGCGATAAGCTGGGCTAAAATTCTGTTAAAGTTGAATCAAAATTCTGTTGTTTAATCCTGTTTTGCTTGGAACATAATGAATTTGGATAAATCAATTCCCTTGTTAGAGAGACTGCAGTGTACCAGATACAACCAATGCACCTCACTGGTGTTAAGAGGCACTTTAAGGGGCAATTTGACCATGTGTGATCTTGACCTAGCTCAGTGATTTCAAGGCCTCACCCCAACAGAAGGGGAGACTCCCAGTTCTGACAATGTCCATGTTCTTAGGCTCACTAGGAGACAGGGTCACCCATTCCCTGTAACCACACTTGAAGCCTGGCACCCTTCAAAGCCTCACACGCCACTCGGTTTATCAGACTACCACATTCCTGAAGACACGGCAAGCACCCCCCCACCCCCGCACCTCTGCAGCACAGCAAACGTACTTGGGGCCTGGTTCGCCTCCTTCTTCGGCTTCTTCTCCTGCTCCCGCTTGGCCGCTTTGAGGGCGTCATACTCTTTTCTCCGACGCTCCTTCTCCTCCGCCTTCTCCCGCTTCCTCACTTCCCGCTCCTGCGCCTCCTTAGCTCGCTGCTTGGCCTCGCGTTTCTTCTCTGCCTCTATAAGGTCAAACACCAAAAATGTGATTTCTCTCCCACAAACCCTCTAGCAGTTTGCTCTCCAAAGTGATTAAAAGTACAGATTCAGCCACCTTTTCCTTTATGCCATGGGTTGCACTGCACAGGAAATACCAAAAGGCTGAGACCAGCATGTGGAGCAGTAGGTGAAGCCGCCACTTGGGGCACCAGCACCCCTTATCAGAGTGCCAGTTCCAGTCCCAGCTGCTCCACTTCTGATCCAGCTCCCTGCTAATGTGCCTGGGAAGGCAGCAGAAGATGGCCCAAGTGCTTGGGTCCTTGCTACCCAATAGGAGGTCCAGATGGAGTTCTGGGCTCCTGGCTTTGGCCTGGACCAGCCCCTGGTGTCATGGCCATTTGGGAAGTGAACCACTGGATGGAAATAATCTCTCTATTGCTCTGCTAATATAAATTCTTAAAAAGAAGGAAAAAAAAAACTACTGGAAACACTCATCTTTTTGCTCTCCAGGAAAGAAAGCCCTCCCTAAACTACAGTAGCCCCTACCAAGATTCAAAAGCATCAGGAAGATCTGGGTGAAATAACAAAAGTGACCTCGGGCTGGCACTGTGGCGTAGCGGGTAAAGCCTCCGCCTCCAGTGCCAGCATCCCATATGGGCGCCAGTTTGATTCCCAGCTGCTCCACTTCCAATCCAGCTCTCTGCTATGGCCTGGGAAAGCAACAGAAGACAGCCCAAGTCCTTGGGCCTCTGCACCCACGTGAGAAACCTGGAAAAAGCTCCTGGCTCCTGGCTTCAGATCAGCTCAGCTCCGGTCATTGTGGCCATCTGGGGATTGAACCAGCGGATGGAAGACCTCTCTCTGCCTCTCCTCTCTCTGTGAAACTCTGACTTTCAAGTATATAAATAAATCTTTAGAAAAAAAAAAAAAGTGACCTCAGCAGGCATGGTTCTAAGTGTGGTACTCCTCTGGTGCTGGGTACTAACCCAGAAGGCGCAGCAATCGACAGCCTTCTGGAAGTCGGACACAGAGAAAAAGGTTACTTCTAAGAGAGGGCAAGGGAGAAGAGAACATAAGCGCTCAGGCTTCCGCTGGAAGGAATGACAATGTTTCTCTGAAAAAATACCCAGTTTGTCAGAGTAATCTCTAGACTTCAGCTTGGCAATCTGTGTGGCAAATTCTGATTAACTTAACAGCTCAGATATGTTTACATGCAGTACCCAACTTCCAAAATTACTGGGT